CCCTTCCTTCCTTCCTTCCTTCCTTCCTAAACTCCTCCCTCCTTCTCTCCCTCTCTCCCCCTTCCTTCCTCCCTCCCTCCCTTTTTTCCTTCCTTCCTTCCTCCCTCTCTTCCTCCTTCTCTCCCTCCCTCTCTCTCCCTCCCTTCCTCCCTCCCTTCCTAAATTCCTTCCTTCCCTTTCTCCCTCCCTCTCTCCCTCCCTTCCTTCCTAAACTCCTTCCTTCCCTCCCTCCTTCCATCTCTCCAACACTAACCCTTAATCATCTCTGCCTAGAATGCGCCCTCTCCTCATTCTTGTCTGCCTTTTATTTTATAACTTGATTTGTTTAAAAAAAAAATTAAATTCATGTCAGATTAAACCGGTCGAGAAATCGACCTTGATCGCTCTCTCTCATAAAGCACTCTCATCTTGTAATAAATACGGATTATAGTTCTGATTTTTTTTTTTTAAGCAGCAGCAGCAGCAGCAGCAAAGTCTGGAATTAAAATTCTCGGAATCAATATGAGGAAATTGGGGAGGAACATCTCTAATCGCATCAGGGCTCCTCTCCAAAGCCTTGCCGGGTCTGCCTGCGTGAAGCTGGGCTCAGGCTGTTGCCCACACTTGGCCAGCCCCAATTTTCTGCTCCTAATTTATTTATTTTTCCCCTCCAATGACCATCTTGCAAAAAAATATCTTTTTTTAAAAAAAATCAGCTAATCAATATCACGATTGAATTGAGCTCTGGGATTCTATATAGGACAGCAACAATTTGCGAAGAGGAAGCAACAGAGGCCCTTTCTTCTCTTCCTTTTGCAATTTTCTCTTTCTGTGCACAGACACCTTCGCTGGGGGGGGGCAGCGCATACACAAAAACGCACAATATACACAATAATGGGGAGACCGATAGAGGAGGGGGGCAGGCTTGATGTAATGCTCACCTTCAGGTCAGTCGGGGTTCTTTTGATGACTTGGACCACGATGCCCATCAACTGGGGAAGGATGAAGGGAGGGGTAGTCCAGTGCTTAGAACACAGAATAACAGAGTTGGAAGGGACCTTGGAGGTCATCTAGTCCAACCCCCTGCTCGAGCGGGAGACCCTTCCTATACCATTTCATTTGCCTGGGGGGGGGGAGAAAACTGTTTTCTGAAGGAGTTTCTGGATAGGGATAATGAGATTGTTGCAATTAAAGCCGGATCTTAACGATGTCCAGACATAATAAGCTCCACCTCCAAATTCTCCACCCCCAAAGCTTAGAATTCTGGGAGGGGAAAAAAATGGAAGGGGTCAGGAACATGATGCAGCCCCCCCGCACCATCCTCATTATCAGCCACACTGGTCTGAATTGTGGTCTGTAACCTCTGAAGGATCTGCCATACTCAATTCCTGTGAGATTGTGGGTTATTTTTTTTTAAAGAATAATTTAAGAGGGGTTCTCATTAATGCTGCACAGGGTGATGGAA